TTCTACATCCAGGGAGACCTTACCTTCTTACACTGACTGGCTAGAAAACCCCATGGAGAGTCCTGAGGTTTAAGAGAGCCAAAAGATCATGGCTCAATCTAATCTTACTTTAGAACTTTGCTCAGCCTAATTAGTTTACAAATATGTAATTTATTTTGCTCCAAGGGTCATAAATATCCTGTAGCTTCTTCTTCTCTTGACAGCTAAAGGGATGGGATCTACAAGACGTAATCTGAACAAACAAAAACTTACTTTATTAACTCCCTTTAATGAAGTCTGATTCCCCTCTTAAAGGGAAAATTAAACTTCAGATTTTTCTGTCTAGCAATACCATCTCCGTACTTGCAAAAATAATGTAAAAAGTTTCTGTTTTCCTTCATTTGCTAGTTTCGGTGTCATTATTTTTATACAGTTCAATATTTGCTATACTTTTGCATTTATAGCCAGGTGACAAAATGGTCATTTATGAAACTCAATTATATTTAAATCAGGCAGAAACATTAAATTAATGAAGAAAACCAGATTCTTTGTAGAACTTATACCTGTTGCCATGTTACAGAAAAATTCGTGGTGGTTTATAATTTTCAGAAGAATTGCATTTTGATTTCCAAATCATGTTAACTGAATATCACTGTAAAATAATTTATGCCATTTGTCCTTAGAGAACTTGTAGTAGTTTGTAATCTAGATCTACTTTCACCTAATTTTTGAGTTTGAATTTCTAACAAATTATAGGGAAAGAACCCATCCCACACCTCAGTTTGTGGTTCTTTTGTTCTATTGTATGAGCACATTTGGGGAAAAAAAGTCGTCCATTAACTAACTTCATAATTTGAGGTATGAGTGTATTATAGAGTACACAGCCTTTCGTTTTTCAAGTGGTAGTTTGCTTTCAGGCTCTACCTTGGGTATTCAAAAACCCTGTGTTTGGTCCTATGCCAGGAAATTGTGGATGATTTAATGTATGTATCCTCTCATTTAAGAAAGGCAAGTCAAATTACAGATCCGGGCTTTGCCTCCCCTGAATCTTTTCCTTTCCCTCTCTTTGAATTGGTCCTAATTTATGGAGCTTTTTCTATTGCACACAATAATCTTTATGTTCACACAATGTTAATAAGCCCTATAATAAGGATTATTGTAGCAAAAGCCTTACAGGCGGGACTCAAAAACAGACTGACTTCTTGTTTATAAACTTTGTAAAACTTGCTTCAAGAGGTTTACTTACATGCCTCTCCCCTATAATTTTGAAGGCCCTCCACGAGGCCCCCTCATCCACTTTACCTTTGAGTGTTGTAGCCCAGTGCTCTAATAACAGTTCAGCCACTATTTAAGCTCTCTGCTCCTCTCCTCTGCAAACTGCTCTGCTGCGAAATTCAGTCAGCAGAGAGTAGAGTCTGGACATGGAGAACAGAAGAATATGAGGAAACTTGATTCTGAGTTGATTATACTGTAATTAGAGAAATGAATTTCCTCTTGGCAGAGATAGAGGGACAACTCAAAGCTCCTCACAAGCCCTGTGTAATGGGAGAAGAGGAAGAATGCTGATCGTTTAAGCCAGAAAGAGCTTTCACTAGAAACATTCAGATAATCCAAGTAAAATGTGGAAGATTTTTTATTTTTTTTTTAAGGGGAGGAGGGAATTGTTGTTTTAATTGTTTAATCTAATAACCTCAATTTTCCTTCATTTGGTATGCTCTGATACTTTGCTAGCTCTGTTATCCATTTTTAACCTAAAAAGATGAACCGTCTGATCTCCACACTTTTGATTTACAGATGATTTTATTTACAATTAAAATTGTGTGATTTGAATTCTACTGATTTTCTTGCTGAGTTGTATCAAGGCAAACAAATGAACAGAAACATTACCAATTGTTCTCACCTACAAGGCTGAGTTACAGTGTATCAATGATCTTAAAATGATGGTATTAAAGAGGACACGTACTGAGTGGAGCACTGGGTGTTATACGCAAACAATGAATCATGGAACACTACATCAAAAACCAATGATGTATGGTGATTAACATAACATAATAAAATAATTAAAAAATAAAAATTAAAAAAAAATAAAAATCACTAAAAGGAACTAGAAAACAGATCCTAAAAACCTAGAGGAAAAAAAAAATGATGGTAACAGTTGCATCTTTACATCATAGAAATATGGAGAGGCATAGCACCTAACAAAGTTTTCTGCAGCAGGAAAGGCATCTATAGCATTAATAAGTATCTAAATACAGAGTATTTTTGCCATTAAACAGAGTCGAAGATGAACAACTTTTGGACTATCAATTGCATTATCTCAGTGTCCATATAATATACCCATTTGCATAGATCAATGATGTGTGGTGATGATTATTTCACAGAGCACAGATTATTTTATCTATACCTTCTTTCAGTTTATTTTTCTACTTTTGTTTCTATGAACTTAATAAAAGTGTCTTTGTTCATGAGTTGGGAGACTCACTCAGCCCTGAGACGGTAGGATCTCAGTCAGTAGTGGAATTGGGCTCAGAACCAAATGACTTCCTTCATGATTTTAAAGCATGCATCATGACAGGATCTTCTTGCAAAGGTTTTTGTAGTCAGCCTAATACCTGCATGAGTCTAATATGTCCCCATGCTACATCAAGCCATTCTCCATTAGGGTAAAGGAAAGGGCAATCAAACACCCACTGCTTCATGACATCACATTCAACACTGACTGGTCTGTGAAAATATTGACTGTCCAAAGGCTTAAGCATTTTTATTATAAGATCTAAAGAACAAACATGCTTTTATAAAGCTTTAAAAATCTCTGCAGAACAGTAAGCCTATTTCACATTGACTTTAAATTTGTTATATTTATTTACCGGCAAATTGATAAGATATGATGACTTTTAAGCTCTTGAATTCCTTGTTATACTGACCTTAGACAGAATCTTTCAAGGACAGTAGGATTTCAACTTCTCAGCATTTTAGCTTTCTAACTTTTCATTTGATTCCCTCCTCCCTTTCCTTAATCTGCATGATCTAATGCACTAACCTCTCAGTCATAACTATTTATTTTTCTTGGACTGATATTATATATACATTGATTCCAGGTCACCAAACAACTGGATCTGGGTTTCCTGAAAAAGCTTACAGGTTGTTAGCTTGTCAGCAACACTTGGATTAAGCCTTTGTGTTCCCATTTATCCTTGTAGCTTCTAATCAGTTATATCAGGATATACCTGCCCATCAGTCTTTCCCACATGGCCTCCCTTAACTTTGACACCAAGTATCATAATCTGAGGCTTTGACAAGGCAATGCATTCTCAAAAACAAGGTCAGTTTTCTTACGAGGTAGAGAAACTGAGAAATACAAATGTCAATTTTACCAACTGGAAATATATCCTTTCTGCTGGTTTTAGAACATCTGTAATGTATTAAATAAAGTCTGGTTGATATCTGGGATCTTTTATTGCCATTAATAATTATCTGATATATATGACAAAATATATCAGATACATGTAAAATATATATGTAACTTTTATATATTTTAAATTCTGCATTTTAAACAAAGAAAAGATCTTTACCATGCATTCAGCAACTTTTTTTCTTTTCTGTAGTTGAGTAATTCAATGACATTAAACAATTATAATAAAAAAGCTAAAGAGATGTCATGATAATGAATATTAGGGAAAAGTATGAAACAAAAGGAAGTATCAAAACAAGTTCATTAAGTATATTCATACCATGTGGAATGAAAAATGTTACCTAAAGAATCTATATTATAATGCAACTAGTTTTCAGAAATATGCTAATAAATCGTATTGTAATTTTATTGAATGTATCATCTTCAGGCATGGTTCATATAAAACAGTATCTCTACAGATATGATCCTGGTTACCTATGATTTAAACTTTTATTTTATGATTGATTATATCTTGTATTATGAGTTGATCATTTTACTTGGAGTTATTATATAAGCCAAACATAATTTCTTTCTGATTGTTTATCAAGGCCTTACCACTTCCACTAGTAAATTTCTGCACTACTTTTTTTTTTAAAGATTTTATTTATTTATTTGACAGAGAGAGAGACAGCGAGAGAGGGAACACAAGCAGGGGGAGTGGGAGAGGGGGAAGCAGGCTTCCCGCAGAGCAGGGAGCCTGACGACGTGGGGCTCAATCCCAGGACCCTGGGATCATGACTTGAGCCAAAGGCAGACGCTTAATGACTGAGCTGCCCAGGAGCCCCAATTTTTGCACTATTTAGCAAAAGCAGGAAGGCTGGAGGCATCTATGGAATTTTGTTGGCTTCCTCAGAGGAATTTGTAAAGATATGATATTTTAAAGCTACCATTGTACTCAAAATTCTTTGGCAAATTGAAGAGGTTGGCATGACCCAGGAGATGTTTCTAATAAACTTCACATCCCTGTACTTTTTCAGATTCTCTCTTCTTAGTGTCATGTTGAATCCAGGTCTCATAAAGTATAGAATTAAAAACAAATTCGGAGAAAAAAATACATGAAGGTGACAACCTTCAAACCAGTATTAAAAATAATTTGATTTGAGATTATCAAATAAATTATCTATTTTGGTTGTAGAGTCAGCTTTGTGACACTTTTCCACCATGAGTGAAACACCTTATACCTGAGGCCAGAGTTCTGTATATTGAATTCCATATCTCCATGAAGTTCCATAGAAATAATGGATGTAAGGGAGATAAAATATTTGGGACGCATACCATAAGGATGTTTTATTTAGATCATTCTTATTTCTTGACTATATTGTGAATGTATCATAAAAGAAGCTATTAATTTTCTTCTTTGGAAGTTACTGCGTGGAATCGGAAGGCTAACATAGAGGTGAAGAAGGGCAGTGTTCACAAATCATTATCTTATATGTATTTTCTATTTTTTCAGGTATTTTCTGGGAAGATTGACAGTGAAATTATTCACTCAGCTTTGAAATAGGTTGTTTTGTTTACTTATTAAAATATATTAACCATAGACATGTATATATTATTTTTCGTCTTCTAGCAATGGTTGTTTTGAGCAACCTGGAACCAAATACAACTTATGAAATCAGGGTTGCAGCGGTAAATGGAAAAGGGCAAGGAGACTACAGTAAAATAGAAATCTTCCAGACATTACCAGTCCGTAAGTAATTATCTCTGTTTTGTTCTCTGTTGCCATTCTCTTCATTTGCAAACTTATGGGATTTTAAAATGCAGGGAGGTGTTTCAACACTTTGGGGAAGTGAATTAGGTCTTTGTTGAATTGGTTTCTGAAAACGGTGGCATCTAAGTATTTAAAAATAACTTTTCTCTGGAACGAGACAAAAAAGAAAAGGTGCACTACAGTAAATACAGTAAAACTGCCCTCAGGAAATTGTCCTCATCAGGAAGGTGTCCTATTCATTAATAGTCTGATTAATTAGATTATAGTTCTCAGACCATGGTCTGTGAGAAAGTAAAAATAGTGACTATGTAACACGTCCAGTATTTCATTCTTTAGATGAGACATGACTATTGTCTTTATCCTATAAATTCTGTAGGCCCTAAGTGTGAGAAAAAGACACCACTGAATTAATCCATTGTCATGGTGACTGCAGAAGAGATAAGACAGAACCTTGTCTCTGCTACTGTCCTCTCTTGGGGTATTGTAATCTGTAATCTGTGCATCACCCTGCTTGTTATATACACCTAATATGACAAGTTGGCTACAAGAGAAACCATTATTTTAATCAATTCCTTTTTGATAGAATTTACATTTGTTCTGAACTTTCTTTTCAAAGGAAGCAGCAACTGTAATGGAATCACAAATTTAGTGTATTGTAAAGGTTAAATGTAGACATAAATACTGTAAATTTATATGTTAAAACATTTGTAACTGAAAATACAGTTCCTGCTATTATCTCAAATGTTATTATCAAAATAATATTACAATATTATTAAATGAATTCAGACTGCACAACACATACATTCTGAAATTTAATTTAGAAGTGATATTAATCTACCTGAATATAAAATCCATCTTATCATTAGATTTTCCCACAATCTCTTAAGTCTTTTTAAGAAATTATTATACCTGGGGCGCCTGGGTGGCTCAGTTGGTTAAGCGACTGCCTTCGGCTCAGGTCATGATCCTGGAGTCCCGGGATTGAGTCCCACATCGGGCTCCCTGCTCAGCGGGGGGTCTGCTTCCCCCCCTCTTCCCTCTTTCCTCTCATGCTCTCTGTCTCTCATTCTCTCTCTCTCAAATAAATAAATAAAAAATCTTAAAAAAAAAGAAATTATTATACTGGTTTTTACAGACATTTTAATTCATTTATCAAAAATATGTTATATTGAATACGGATCATGTGATATCATAATATCTGCACACTAATGTAATTAATTTTAATGAAGAATCACTCCAAAATACCTCTATTTGTTTTGTTTCTCTATCGCTCTAGTATACAAGGCTATTTTATTATATAGTTGCATGTCACCACACCCCACTGACGTATTTCCTTAATGATATGCCTTTTCTCAAATAAACTACTCACTTCATATGGTTACAAACACCATATTTAAAAAAGATAACCGGCTGAGAAAAAAAAAAAAAAAAAGATTGTCCAAATTTGGAGGCATAAAATCCTCTTCACTCTACTCTGCTTAGTTGGTCTTGACATTCCTCTGAGTAAACCCATACTACAAGTTTCTGGAACCTTGCAAACTAAAGCATGTCTCCTGAAAGTTCCTTAGTATTACTATATTCCTATCTATAGGGAATTGGAGAAAAAAAGGGTAGAGGATGACAGCGCATGCTGAAGGACATCACATAAGTGACACACAGCAAGGAATTCCCATTCCAAGTTGTCAAGCAGTGATGGCGTCCTTCACATATTACATTTCACTAGATCCCTGTTCATATTAAACATACAAGCATCTTTGTTATAAGACCACCTCCATGGGAAGAATAACATCAAAGGCAAATATGTTCATGAAGTTAGAAGAAAAAAATATATATTGGAACACATATCTATTGATTAATTACTACAAAATTTCTGTATTCAAATCTGCATCTTAATTTAAAAATACTCACTAAGGGGCACCTGGGTGGCTCAATCGGTTAAGTGTCCAACTCTTGGTTTTGGCTCAGGTCATGATCTCAGGTCCTGAGATCGAGTCCCACATCAGGCTCTGTGCTCAGAATGGAGTCTGCTTGAGATTCTGTCTTTCCATCTCCTGCTGCCCCCCCAACGCATGTGTGGTCTCTCTCTCAAAATAAATAAATAAATCTTTAAAAAAAAACACTCATTAAAACAGATATATATGCTAAGCCATTATCTTTCTTGGTAAGTATATATTCCATATAGTTCTATAACTTAATATGTTTATATTAAAACATATGTACAAAATGTTTACAAAAATTTACATTAATAAATAGGATTGCACACTATTAATAACACAAGAAATAAAGTTTTCACGTTTATAATGAAATACTATTATCATAACATTTGCATATCAGTATAAATAATATTTTGGTTCTTGGTGTCACTTCTATATTTATGTAGATTTATGAATGTTGCTGTTTCTTAGTTGGGGAGAAAGGATCAGAGATTTTATCACAACAAAAGGCAAATGGAAAATGGTAAATTCAGGATCACATCATGTTTGTTTTTTTTAATTATTACATGACAGTGTTCTCTTTATTTGAATGCAGTTTCTCCAGGTATCTGAGGTGTGTATAAAAATCAAGAATGTCGTATTGCTTATTTAGGTGAACCAAGTCCTCCATCCATACACGGGCAGCCAAGCAGTGGGAAGAGCTTTAAACTCAGTATCACCAAGCAGGATGATGGAGGGGCCCCTATTTTGGAATACATTGTGAAGTATAGAAGTGTAAGTACCTTTTTTATTATCATTTTGTACAGTGTTTTCAGATTGCATTAAATTTGCATTCAATTCATAGACATATTAGGCATGTATGTATATTAAGTAACAATGATAAACAGTTCTTCTAGAAATTCAACTGCTAATTGTCCATTGCTGAAATTCATCATTATAAATGGTGAAATACTTGCCTTTTGTGTGTGTGTATAAAATCTAAGCATTTATCATCAAAATAATGCCATGTATCCATCTTGTGATTTCTAAACTTGACATTTCAGAAATGAAATAACATTTTCCTTGTTTTTTGACAAGTTTAACAGGATGTTTTCACCTTTCATTCTGCTTGATATTAGTAACTTCAAGCTAAGCCCCTCTTCTCAATTTTAGTTATTGTATTATAAGTAATTATTTAGTTATTGTATCAAAATATTTTATTTTTATTTTTATGAATTATTAAATTATTTATACCTTAAATTTATAAGCCTTTTGATATGAATCATTTGATTAAATAACAAATTAATTTAATCAACATTTAACAAAGTGGCCATATTGAACTTGTGGAAGAAGGATTAGTTTTTTTCAAGTTTAATTAGCACTAGCTAATACGGAATTTTGGACAGCTAAGAGCTGCCTTGGGACTTAATACAGTAGTAGATGAAGGACATCCTCTGGTTGCAGAGTGATAAAGAAAGTGACCTAGTGGAATTTGCCTTTGGCTGAAAATTATACCCAAGGCCGCTAAAAGTGGCTTCTCTTAACATTACCATAAGTGCCATTGAGTATTTGTGTCTATTGTGGAATATGTTAAAAGTGAAACACAATTTTAAATTATTATTTATTATTATAACTTATCTTTCTTTTCCAGCAACACAGTATATATTTTCTAAAAACAAAATTAAAATTATGTCCCATTAGAGAGAAATATTTCTCAAGACTGTCACTAAATGAAAAGTGGTTAGTTGGGTGTTGGGTCAACTAAACAATAGGGTCTGGGGTCTGCCACAAATTGTTAAAGTCATTATCTTTACTATCACAATAGCTGTCTCAGTCCTCTTGGGCTACCATAATAAAATACCATAGTTGGATGGCTTAAACAATTGAAATTTGTTGTCTCACAGCCTGGAGGTTGGAATTCCAAGATCAAGGTTTGGTTTCTTCTGAGGCCTCCTTCTTTGGCCTGCAGGTGACTGCCTTCTTGGGGTCATGACCTTTTTTTTTTTTTTAATATATTTATTTTTTTAAATTCAGTTAACATATAATGTATTATTGCTTCAATTATTCATCAGCGGTAGAGGTGAGTGATTCTTCAGTCTTATATAATGCCCAGTGCTCATTACATCACATGCCCTCCTTAATGTCCATCATCCAGTTACCCTATCCCCCATCCCCCTCCCCTCGGGCAGCCCTGTTTGTTCCCTATGATTAAGAGTCACCTTTTGTCTGTACACATACATCCCTAACCTCTCTTCATCTTCTTATAAAAATATCAGTCATATTGGATTAAAGATCCATCTAAATGACCTCCTTAAATCCATATTTCCTAATAAAGGCAACTCGGAGTTTAGGGATTTAACATATGAATTGGGGACTGGAACACAATTCAGTCCATAACAATGGTTATCATACATGAATCCTGTGTATCTAAAAGGACCCACTATTGGCATTTTGAGTAGCATAATAGTGAGCCATCCAGAAATCTACCCCCTATTACAGAATGTTTAGTATCCTTGCCCTCACTCACTTTAAAGCCAGTTGTGTCCCTGGTCATTATTGAAGCCAAAATGTTCCCTAGAGTAGCACTGCATCTGTTTAGAGCCAATTAGATTCACAAAATGGGAAAAAAAAAAAAGGCATTTTAGATATTCAAAGGGAAATTATATATATATATATATATATATATATATATATATATATATATATAATTTATTCATTTTATTATTTTATTATCTATTTTTATTATTTATTATTTTAATTGATTAATAATATAAATGATCATTTAAAATGCTGACCAAATTTATTTTGATTTCTTTAACATAAATTAGAATTAATGTCTTATGGAAGTTTTGTGTGAAACATATATGGATACAAATAAGTTGAAGTGTTAAGTATAATAAGATTGGAAAACTTGGAGTAATTCAAATTTCCATAAAGATGATGAAAATATTTTAATTTTTTATGTAGTTGATATGGCTTAGTCTTAGATTAAAATTTGAATGAAGTTTTATTTTCAGTAAATTTGTATCTTCCATTTATTCCCTTCTCTCCCCCCCAAACTAATAATAGCTGTGCCCTATTTTCACCTATTTATTCAACATCTATGTTTCCCCTACCAGTAAAAGAAAGTTTTAGTCCCTTCTCAAGTCCGTCTTACTTCTGTCTTGCCATACCCCTCCTCTCTATTTCCAATCCCCAGGTCTTTCTAACTTGAAAAAGTGCTAGAGGATTTGTTTTTAAATATGATAATGAAAATAATTGGTTGCATAATTAAAACATAGCTACAGTTGACTGATAATCAATTACTGTGTTACTGCTCTCAGACTTAATAGCATTTGGGGATGGAACACTGTTTTAGTAGCTGAATTTTAGGCTCCTATGGCAAGATTTATAAAAGCAATTCCTTGGGGTGCCTGGGTGGCTCAGTCGTTAAGCGTCTGCCTTCGGCTCAGGTCATGATCTCAGGGTCCTGGGATCGAGCCCCTCATTGGGCTCCCTGCTCAACGGGAAGCCTGCTTCTCCCTCTCCCACTCCCCCTGCTTGTGTTCCCTCTCTCGCTGTGTCTCTCTCTGTCAAATAAATAAATAAAATCTTAAAAAAAAAAAAAAAAAGCAATTCCTCTCCACCCTTTGTACTTCAAGGAAGGCATTTCTCCCTCTTGGACCCTATAAATATAAATATAAACCATTAATCAAACATTGGTTTGAAGGGGAGTTGGAGACACAGTTATGGAATGAATAAGTCACTGGTATAAAAGACACAGCATTAGGAATATAGTCAATGATATTGTAATAGAGATGTGATGTATCTGGAAAGATGGTGCTACATTGGTGGTGAGCATAGCATAATGTATGAACTTATTGAATCTCTATGTTGTACACCTGAAACTAATGTAACATTGTGTGTCAACTATACTAAAAAAATAGATACTTTTTAACACTTTTTAGTGGGAAAACTAAACCTTACAGAATGTGGGTAATTTGGTGGGCATGAAGAACAGATATCAGAACATAAGACTTTAAAATCGAAACAGTTTTGCAGCACAAAGTGTTGAATTGAAATCTGCCTGTGGAGATTATACCAACCCCTCGACTCTCTCATCTCACTTCAGTTGGCTAGCTCTGCGCGTCCAAAGTACAGCCATTCTGACCCACCTTATCTTTACCATATCGTTTATGGTATGCCTTCTACTTCAACACATTGAAATAATCTCTATATCTTTATTCTTTCCCTTCCTTCTCTGCCCTCTTCATCCTACAAACATCATGCTCTACAGGGCTAATAGGAAATCCCATGATTCAATGTAAATTCTATGAATGTGGTCAAACAAGAGCATATCTTGGGAAGGAATAATTTTCTCCACATTTTCTTTCTCAACAGATTAGTTCTTCACATTTAAAAATTCGGATGGCATAGCCAGGTGATGCGTAATGAGGAGGAAAAGTGTTGTGATAAGCACTGGGTGTTATATGCAACTAATGAATCATTGAACACTATATCAAAAACTAATGATGTACTATACAGTGCCCAACTGAACATAATAAAAGAGTCAAACTTGGGAAAAAATAAATAAAAATAAATAAAAATTTGGATTTTAAGATTTGGCGGCTGTTTTATGGCAGTCTTTGCTTTGATATTTGCACTTGTATTGAAATAGTTACAATTTCAAAAAGGTTTTAAATCACCTGTTCTCTTTATGTGATTCTAAGCCACTTCATCTATTAGTTGCTCAAACTGCATGAATTCCATAGTGGAATAAAGTACAGTTGAATAACTTGAAAAATTATTTTGCGATATGCGATGCATTTTTTAATTGTATAACCTCTATGGAAAGGAAATAGGGGAATTCAGAAAGTAAGCAATATCATAGGAATTTTAAACTTGATTGCTTCTTTGACCCTATCTTTCAACTCTCCATGTGCATGAGACTGTATGTTTTACAATCTAGGAACAACAGAATTGAGATAATATATTCCCTACGTGAGTGTTGATTGCTAGCAGACATTGAATCTAAGTATTAAACCTGCATTTCACCAGGATGAGGAAAGACAAACCATATCCTAATATAGAGAATGTATAACTTAATATAGATCAGGAAATGCATATAGAGCACCTGACTTTGTTCCGTTACACATTAAGAAGACAGAATTTATGAGAACAGAACTAGAGTAGTAAAAGAATTAGATGTCTCTATGCATTCTTTGTGAAAATTAATGTCTCTAACAATAAGTCAGTAGGATTAAACCGTGTGTTTGGAGAATAAAACAAGCTTATTAATTTCATAATGTATATGGAAAAATGAAAGAAATTATTTTATGTACAGAATATTTTACATCTACTTTGTGTTGTAGAGCCAATGTAACTCTATATAATTTAATAAATAGTCTTTTTCACGCTTCCACGAGTTTTTCACTGCTTTCTCCCTAATTTGATGATAGCTGTGGGATCATAACAATCACTTAGTGTTGGCACATTAAATGTTTCCTGAGCTAAGAAGGACTAAAAAAAAAAAAAAATTAGCTGCTTAAAATCATTTGTGAAGAAAGTACTTTAGGGACTAGCAACAGTGTTCTAGCATACGTTTCTGAGTCTTAATTGACCTTCTTAAGCTATTTGGAGTCTAGAAGGCTGTATCTTAATGGCCATAAGAAAAGAAAAGATAATTTTAAAAAGGTTCTTAAAATAATACATATGTAAAATTGAGTTCTTGTTGTTGAGATAACTTATTTTCTAATTAATTATTAATAATAATAACTTATTTTCTGATTTACCTATGTTTAGGTGGGTACACTGAAATTTATTTAAAGCCATCAGTATAAGTTTTGAAGCATTTTCAAATAATAACTATGGACATTAAAGAATCCTAAGCTTTCTGATAATTTTCTTTGCACTAGTGAAGAGGATGAGTTTTATTCATTCTGGTATTGATATCCTCAAAAATACTATTTGTTGTCTGAATGAATAAATATATCAAAGAATCAATGAATAAACAAGTCTGTGTTGAGCAATTATACATAATTCTATAATTAGATTAATAAATCTAAGAAATAATGCAAGAGAAAAAACACTTGTACTGGCTGAATTTTTATGGGTTGTGAGAACACAGAAGGTGATGGATAGGAAAAATTAGATCTTAGTTTTCCCTAAAGAGATATGTGAGTGATGGAGACTAGGAATAGATTAAGTAGGATCCAGTTTACAAAATTTTGCCAAGCCTCAGGATATGGAACAAAGGCAATTTGAATCAGTTATGATAATAGAAAAAAAAATCAGAATTTGAGTCAACTATACTTCAATTAAAAAGAAAGAAATTAGAATTTGAAACTTTACTAAAATCCTCCAAATCTTACATCTTTTGATATCACAGTGGAGTGTATGAGTGTGTGTGTGAGAGTGTGTGTGTGTGTGTGTGTGTGTGTGATTGCTAAATCACCTCTCTGATATTCAGAGTAATAAATGGAGCTGTAGAGAATTCTGGGGCCTTTTATAAGGTCATACAAGTAGTGAATACCTGAACCATGCTACCAGGAAATCTAGGAACCAGAAACCGCCTTACATGGCAACACAAAATCTTAAAGCATAACACAGGGGAAGTCACGAGGACCTTAAAATTCATCTAGTGAAAGAACAAGCTCACTTCCTCTATTGTCCTCTGTTGATTCTGTTTTCATTTAAGATGATGTTGAACATATATTCCCTGAGACTTGAAATAGGATTAGTGAATTACTTCTTATAAATAAAAGCAGTCAGGGAGTCCTCTACAAATAAGAAAACCAACACTCCTTTCATCTCTTCTCAGCTCTTCTCCCTATACGATGACAGCAAATATTTCCCCATATGCTGGTATTATGATTTTAAAATAACTGTTAAGGAGAGCCTCTTAACTGTCATTTGGCCCTGCTATCTATTTTCTGAGAAAAAGGATTGCTTAAGAGAAGCCATATCAGAGCAAAATGGCCATTTTTCTTTTAGTAGCTGCCCTTCAACATTTAATTGGCTTATTAATAATAGCCCTATTCAGCAAATCATCTCATTAAGTTACCTAGGGGAACATTTTGCAACTAGATTATCTTAAATCGTTCCCTAGGCATTCAAATTCTGTAAATTAGGCACTCTGCAGATGCATAATTGAGATTTTGATACCTAGGGGAGTATTTGGTAACACCCACTTTAATTTTTTTTTCCTATTCCCTAGGAATAGCAATTAAGGGATTAAAAAGGCTCCTTGTCTAATGTCGAATGGAAATTGACTAAATGGGGGGAAATATTAGAACTCCCTTTGGTTCCTTATGCCATCAGTCCAACTATCTAAAATGATGGAGGGGCTTTTAATTTATCATGTTAAGAGCTTCAACAATTAAAAGTTAAACGATGGGTAATTCAGAAGAGACTATCTGCATGTCTTGTGCTTGTCAAGAAGTTCCCTTCAAATGGTCAGTTCCCAGAAATAGTATTTTTGGAGGATTATGTGAAGGACATGAAGTCTCTCCATCACTCTGAAGAATAAATTTTGTCCTGGGGTAATCCAGATCTCAGCTGTTGGTTCATTTTCTGGCTCTTTCGCCCATATCTCCACTCAGATCCAAAGCAGAACTCAACTCTGGATTTTCACCAAGGTATTCATTCTCACCAAGCACTTTACAGTTGCTTAGGACTTCTGGAATTATTGGGATAAAAGGAAGGCCATAGGGGCAACTCTTTAGTGCTTCATGTACCCTTTGTCTTTATCTAATCTTTCAGTTCTCCTGCTTCTTACAACCTCCTTCCTGTAGATGGGCATATGTGTATACACAGTATAGAACATATCAGATATTTATGTTATATAGATTTTATTGTGTCTGTATATGTGTATATATTGTGTCTATATATGTGTGTATGTGCCTAAACACATATACAGATATAGACACAATAAAATCTACATATATACATACATATACATATATACATGTAATGTATCATCTAAGATTGTTTTTGAGTAAATATTTTTAAGCTTTATTTTTTTGGTCAATACCTATAGTGTTGTTACATTTACTGAAAACAATAAGCCTATAGTGTGTATCTTTCTGTCTCCCAGTGTTGGTACAACTTTCTGAGATTTTCAGTCATTGTGCTTACTTTTGGATCTAAACCTCTGTGAAAGAATCACACTTTTTCATTAACTAAGTTAGGAAAAATGAAAAATGGCACTGGAGTTTATTATTTCCAATGAGGGTGACATCACTTCCCCAGAGAGACCTTCTGAGGCCCTAGACTCTCCTAAGTTTCCCTGTTTTATGCTCCCAGAGCATTCTTCATTTTTCAAAGAGCTCATGTCTTTCTTCCGGGCTGGTGTACATTCCAAGATGAGCATATTGTACATGTCCTGCTCACTATTGTGTTCAGAGTTCTAGAACAGCCCCTCTACCCAATAAAGATGGAATTAATAATTGATGGATGAATCGATGATGAAGGAAGGTGTTGGGAAAATCATGGCTGTTCCGTACAGCTGTCCCAAACATTTCAGAAGTGCTCCTCACTTCCTTTCTTAGACTTAATAATCATTTAGTGATGTAGACAAGTTACAAGCATTCTGGCCCAAACTATTTGGTTTTCCAATGGCCTCTTCAGTACACCTCAATACCTTAAATAGTACTGGACAACAATTTATAAACTTAATACATTTATAAGTTCAAAAAGCAAAGGAAATATCTCTTGTTTATATGATAACTTTAGGTGCTTTTCCAAAACCCATGGCTTCATAGCATTAAGGGTGCTAATATGTTTTAGTCTTAGATGAAATATCAAAATAGGCTGATACCTCTGTAATAAAAATTCTATGTAACCAAAAATAATTAAGTAGGAAAATAGAGTAACAGTATGGTATCAAAACAGTAATGTCTTCTTGTCTCCTTTTAATGGACACTTCATGTGTGTAGTATCATCAATTTAATGCGATCATGCATTTAACATCCACAATTTAATCTCAGAGAATAAATCCTAAATTTTCACCATAAATGCTGAAAACATTTTTATGCTTTATAGTCAAAGAAACATTGTAAAATATTGACTCAACATAAGGTAATACTGGGCTGAGCTCTGAGGTTAAAAAAGATTGATCTGTCTGTCATCTGTCTATCAATCTATCTCGCCAGACTCTAATTTACTTATAATTATATCTCTGGGAAATTGAGATTTGCAATTGCAGTGATAATTTATTAAATATATCATTCCAGAAAAAATGTTTTATTTTCATATAGTTATTATGGAAATAGGCTCTCCTTAATAATGGTTGTCATTTGTTAAGTGCTTGTAATTCCTAAGGCCCTGGACTACCCAAAGTACTTGGTTTTCCTCATTGCTCCCTCATAAAAGCTGACAGATGCAGCTGTTACTATCATTTCTGTAATAGAGATGAGAGAAACGAGGCAAAGAGGTTAAGGAATGCACCAGTGTTTAAATGGTTAATATGGCACAGCCAAATGTTCACATTGTTTAGGATAGTTTGAGTTATTAAGTTGTATAAATTTATTTTTGTGTGTTAATTGTAATCATAGTATATTTTTCAAATAAAGGTTAATTCAAATATGTGATCTAAAGCATTTCTTTTAGAAAGACAATCAGGATTTAAGTGTAGATGTTCAAGGATAGCATAACACATTTTATTTTCTGATGCTAATAACATTTTTAACAGGTAATATTTTTTCTTATGTGTTGTTTTATTATGAGTCTAAAACATCAGAGTAATAAAAATACTCTTGGTAATTTAAATCTGTAAAAAATATCCAACCTCTATTTGTAAGACATTTTGTCTCCCCGTCCCCCCACCTCAAACCTTAAACAATAGTCTCTGGCAATTATTTTAATGGACATACTAAACTTTTTCTGTAAATTATGTTTCATTTTTTCTGTCCACAGGACTATTAATAATCAAAAAATGGCCAAACAGCAAAATGATATCTGTGAAATAAAAATAAATTCTTAATGAAGGTGAATTATCAGCCACTGAATTATCAAAAATTAATTATGAAATCATTATTTGGCTAAAATTTTAAAAAACATTACATTTTTATGGAAAATTCTCAGAAATGACTTCATTGATAAAGCAACTTTCTTTATCCCTGTAGATGATAATATATCCTTTCTTGAAGTTAATAAAAACACTTTTTCTACCTGAAGATAAATTATATTTTTTAAAAATCCCAACTTCAGTGTATTTACAAAATATATTTGATTGCCTCTACAGAAAGATAAAGAAGATCAGTGGCTAGAGAAAAAAGTGCAGGGAAATAAAGACCACATTATTTTGGAGCATCTACAGTGGACAATGGGGTATGAAGTTCAAATTACAGCTGCCAATAGATTGGGATATTCAGAACCAACAGTCTATGAGTTCAGCATGCCACCAAAGCCGAACATTATTAAAGGTAAGCAAAACTAGCTGCTTTCTTAGGCTGGCAATAAATATGATAATCATCTTTTTATAACTCCTCTGGATTTTTTCTTAATATTGAAAAACATAATTTTATAGAAGGAATTGTAAATTCTGAGTTCTAATCGTGATTATCATGACATGTCTTACTCAAGATTTCTCAAATTGTTCTTGCCATGGGGTATCAGTTAACTTGTAAATACACTCTGACTTTGGTGGTTGAAGCGATGGGGAGAGAATGAACAGAGGGAGGGGATGGAAGGTAAAAGTGAAGTGTCAAAAATCAACATGAAAAATTTCTGTTGAAACCAGAAAATCTTTCACAAAGAAGACTTCTCTACCAAACACACGGAGGCTGGCCCTTCATTTTTGGAAAAATGCGGTCAAAGATAATGATGAGCCCATCCATGACTGATCAAACCAGTTGATTTTGGAAAGGTAGAATCAATCACACAGTAAGTCAGAAACAACCACAGATGTAGCCCAGAAAAAATTATAACTAGGATTTCAAGGAGGCTCACAATGTTACAGGACACTCAACATCAGTATTCAAGCGCACTGGTGAATTCTACCTTTATTAGTAACAGTGCTTGCATCATTGTATGCTAGTGATAGTATCGAAGTCCACAGGAGAGATATTAATTTTTTTCAGATACATGTTATAGAGGTAAGGATGCAAGAATTTGTCCTGATTCATAGTCATATTTAACTCTATGAGTTATCACATGGGTCATACTTTAACATCTACCATTCCTTTAAATATAATATGTAACATTTACTGGTAAATCTCATACATACATGTATGAATATATGTAATATACATATACTCTTCATATGTATATATGTAGAGATGGGGGCAGCATATTGATAAGCATGGCTTATTGAAGTCATATTATATTACAGTGTTAGTATTGTTACATAACACTGTTGGGACTGGGAAAAAATAAAATGTGTTAGTTAAGTCATGTTCTTTAACCCCCTTGTAACTTCAGATAGATATCAATCTCATTATTGTGAGTTTGTGATATAGTGCATCTTTTTTTCCAAATTGAAAGCATCTTTATACAGTTAATCTTTCTATTAAAAAATAATTACAAAAAAAATTACTATTGGTTATATGGTTTAAAAGTCATTGATATTTGACTTTGTATGGCTAATATTAATAAGTGCTTCCAATTATAATTTGAAATTAGGAAGTGGGGAACATCTAGAACTAATATTGATATGTTGTAATGGAATTTTTAAAAATTTACAAAGTACTTTTGCATTTATTATCTCATTATCTCATTTATGTATCTCTGAATCTGAATTGAATGAGGAAGAGTTATACTCATTTTACAGATGTAAATTTGGAAGGTTAAGGGATCTGTTCAAGGTCAGAGATACTTTAGTCATATGACAAGTCCAATGATCTTATAAGATGATACACCTAAGAATATGATTGAATATACTATCAAGTTCATTGCCTCTGTGAGTTTGAAACACCAGTAACTACTTCTACAATTATAATGTTTTATTTTTGTAGTAATTATCTTCCATACAGATACCAGCAACATGATATAAATATGACTCTAAATCTGAGTCAGAATCTTCAAAGGAGGATTTCAACAGTGTACTCCATTTTCCTCAATCTTTAATTTAGCTTGTATGTTTGGAGAAAATAATTATTTTTATCAAGATAAAAATTAATGTTGTATGAGGTTGGAAGAGAACATTTTAATAACATTTTATAGGTAACAAACAAATTATGAAAAAAATAGACTTTAGGCAGGTTACTTTATGTTATACTTCCAGAGTCCCTGCTAGTTTTATAAAAAATCATTGTTAAGGAGCTCCTGGGTAGCTCAGTCAGTTGAGCATCTGCCTTCAGCTCAGGTCATGATCCCGGGGTCCTGAGATTGAGCCCCGCATCGAGCTCCCTGTTCAGTGGGGAGTCTGCTTCTCCCTCTCCCTCTGCTGCTCCCCCTGCTTGTGCTCTCTCTCTCTCTAATAAATAAATCTTTAAAAAATCTTTTAAAAAATCATTGTTAATAAAAACCAAAAATAAGTATGGATAAAAGGGTAAAAAGTAAATAAGAATATATGTATATACATTTATACATACATATACATACATACACACATATATACATATACAGGCACAAACATATCTAAGATATATTATGATATATTTACCATAAAAACATATTTTGTTTGAATTTCAGAATCAGATTGTGGGCAGTACCTAGAAGACAAGTGGAAAGAATTATGGTTTATAGTTTCAGCTTTGCTCTTGTTAATTAATTTTTCTTGATATGCATTTTCTTATCTCTAAGCTAGTTTCTTCTGGTTCTGCTATGTTAGGATTCATTCATTTGTTCTAGGTATTTATTGAGGTCTTGCTTTGTGAGAATGACAGAAATGGGCACAGAGGAATGACCTGTGAAAAGTACAGAACTGGCCCCTGCCCTCAGAGACCTTACAATCTAGTAGGGCAGGTAGACATAAAACCTAGGGTTCGAATAACCACCAAATAATTACAACTAAGAGATATGCTGGGGCTGTATGCTGCCATGAAGGGGTTTGCACTTGTACCTAACTTGTGGTGGGAGAGGTAGGGGTTAGGGAAGGGTTCCTTTAGAAAGTGCCTTTCCAAAACAAAGTTAAAGGAAATGAGTCTTCTAGGGAAAGTTCGTATATAGAAGAAGCCTCTGAGAGAGAGAAAAAAAAATTTTTTTTTGATCTGCTTTAGGAACTAGATAAAACATGGCTGAAGAGAACCTGGAGGTGTATGAACAAAAATAAGGATAAAGAGGGATCTACAACCCAGATAATCCAAGGTCTTCTGAAAATTACATAAACAATCTTAAAAGCGGTCCTAGAGGCAATAAGAAATCATTTGAAGCAGGGACATTATATGAATAGATAGGCATTACAGACAGATTAATCTTGCTCATATGGGTAAAAGGAAGAGATGGATGAACAGGAACACTTGAAAAAAAGTGACAGCAGTAGAAAAAAAAAACGTGAATAAATTCTGGACACAGTGTAGATGTAGGTTAACCTTACATGTGTAACAGATTGAATTAAGTAGATATTGATGACTTTTGAGTTTCTTGCTTGGATAGTTGGAACACTGTTGGCATCATCTCTCAGGATGAAGAATTTGAGGAACAGAATTTGCAGAATAGGATCAAACATAAGATCGGTTTGGTAATCCTTAAGTTTGAAATGTCAAGTAGTAGTTATATATGTGCATATAAAGATGAGAAGATGTCATAGATTGGAAACATACATTATGATGTTAACATTAACAGGTGAATGGTATCTGAAGCCTGGGTGAGGATAAAATTACACAATGAGTAATGCCCAAGCTCCATGAAAAAGAGTCTGAAATACTCATAGATGTCTCCCTGGTACCTAGAAGCGTGCCTGGCACAGCATAGATGTTCAAGGAGTACTTTTTGGGTAACTGAGTAGAGTATAAAGAACTGAGTCCCAAGGAACTATTATATGGGAAGAGAAAACCACAGCAACCCCCCACCCCCCATGAGATTAAGATGTTGTAGAGTTCCTGGAAAAACAGAAGACTGTAGTATCTTGGAAGTTAAGGGAGAGTCATCTTTCAAGAAGAAAAGCTATAAATCGCATTTGCCACTTCAGATGCTGCCAAGAGGTCAACGGAACTCAATCGAAAGAGATGTGAAGTGTCCTTCATACATACAACTTTGCTGAAGTGGCTATGAGAGAAATTAGGTAGGAGTGGGCTGAGGATTTTATGTGAGGTTAGGAGGTTTAGATTCCATGTTTATTTAATGCTTTTAAGAAGGTTTGCTATGAAGGCGAGCAGAGATTAAAAAAAAAAAAAAGAATCAGTGTCAGAAGGACTTTAGGATGAAAAATGCTGGAGTGTGTTTCACAGCTGATGAGGCAGATCACGCAGTCAAGGAGAAGTCAGAACAAGCTATCTGAGAAGGTAGGAGAAAGAATTCCTCCCCCTCTAAACTGTGCAGCTGATGGCTTTCTTCATGGAAAGCCACATTAATGACATGCCTTTAGAGTTTAAGAATCGTTCAGCTTAGCTCTAGAAGGTTTTGGGGGTCAATTTTAAAGGCTGTAAAGGGTGATGGTGAATTTGGGAACCTTTATGCCCACAATATCCTACAGAGTTAAAATTACGTATTGGTAAAATAAGGAAAATGATTTGCATATGCCTTCATCAAAATTACCCTGGTAGCTGTATGATTTCTTTTTCCATTTTAAAGTAAATATTATAAATTTAAACTCATATCTGAAATAAGTTATCAATAATAAACTAGCAGACCTTAAGTCTTTTTATGCCAGTTTTAGAAGATGTGAACTTTAGAAGTTGATTTAGTTTTAATTCATTTTTGGTAGCATGCGTTGTAAACTGTCTAAATAAGTTTATAGACTTTTTTTTTATTCTTATGTTAATCCCCATACATTACATCATTAGTTTTAGATGAAGTGTTCCATGATTCATTGTTTGTGCATAACACCCAGTGCTCCATGAAGAATGTGCCCTCCTCAATACCCACCACCAGGCCAACCCATCCTCCCACCCCCCTCCCCTCTAGAACCCTGTTTGTTTTTCAGAGTCCATCATCTCTCATGTTTCGTCTACCCCTCCGATTTCCCCCGCTTCATTCTTCCCCTCCCGCTACCTTCCTCTTCCTCTTTTTTTTTTCTTAACATATATTGCATTATTTGTTTCAGAGGTACAGATCTGAGATTCAACAGTCTTGCACTTTTGAATCTAAAAAGTCATTGCTTATGTGCATTCAATATATTTAACTTTTTGTAAGCAACAGGCTAAATATAGAGTACATGTATTTGTTGGACTGAAGAACTATTTTTTTAACAATATGCTCACCTTACATTCATATATAATATGTTACATTAACAATGATGGTTTTTCTACGTATGTATATTAGTGGATACCACATTTCTCCATAGTTTATTATTCTAATTTAAAAGGTACTTTGTGATGAATAA